AGTCGTCGTGGCTCTCTCTCCTCTCAGTAGATTTACCGTTGCTGCGTTGGCAGCGATGCTCCTCGACAGGGAAGATAAGACATGTGAGACAATCCAGCAGAAATCCCCAACGTCAAACCAAACTTCTAACGTCTATGGGAAAAAACAAAATAAAATAAATGACAATAAAGATAAGAAAAAAAAATATGAATAATGTGGATATACATAAAGAAGCTGTTTTTAATTCCTGTCTGCCCTGGCCCACTTCTGTTCGTTTGTTTTTTTGTTGTTTGTTTTAGTCTGAAGGGACGAGAGTTTGATACAAAACGCTGTGAGGTCATGCTGTCGGTTTCTACGATTAGTTTCTGTTAACTGTCTTCATTCTGATTATACATTTTAACAAAATACGAAAAAAAATGTCACTTTTTTTTTAACATTGGTGTTCACCATGGTGGCACTGGAATAAAGAGAAACTAACACAAAGGTTCAAATTTGACTAATAAAATGGCTGTTCCCCAAAGTGTCCCGCGCAGGTTTGACATGACACCCCATGAAACTACAAGACGCTAAACATTTGCATACACTTCATAAGAAAACACATTGTTAAGGAAGAATTTCTAAAATAGTTAACTTTGGTAAAAGTTTGGCTCTCTCTCTCTCTTCCTTAGATCCCAGGTCCTCTCGGCAGGCCACGTGTAGCCACAAGGAAAACAAGAATGCGTGATGACATCACAGAATTACAGAATTTAATCCAATATAAGACAATGCATAAACTTAGAAGTAAGACAATTACACCAGAAACTGCAGAACAACAGAAACATACATTCATTACCTGAGACAAAAAGATAGAAAAGAAAAAGGCAAAGACGTTTTTGGAGAAGTTGCAAGCGCAAAATCTGATTTGTTACTTCTGTGTAGAAAGTTTTATCCTCTTGTATTTAATTTATTCAAATAAGGCGTACCTTTTCTCCTCCAACCAGGAGCTATCTCTGACCCTCTATCTGAAGCCTAAAACCCCTGCCGTGTTTACAGCCTCTCACAGATGAGTGTGAAAAGCCGGAACTTCCACTGTATTGTTTTCTCACAGACAAAAGGCAATTCAAACGATCCCAGCAAACCATCTGCTGGAACTACAGGTAAAATAAAGGTCAATAGGCCAGAATAAGTTACTGATTTCAAAACCACAATTAGGCCATTTGAATCAAGACATGTTAAGTTTTAAAACTAGCTTATTTTAAATTTATTTTCTCAACAACATCTCCATTATTTCCTTCCTGTCAGGCATTAAAGTGAATGAAGATGTTTTGTACTTTAGTTCAAGTAGGACTATCACAATCTTTCCTATTAGTATAGTTTTTTTCGGACTATAGCGGCTACTTTTTTTCCCCCACTCTTTGAACCATGTGGCTTTCCTGTGGATTTTTCTTCAACCACCAGGGGGCGCTTTAGCAGCAAGTGAATCGTTGGAAGTCAAAATTGGAAATCAAAGAAGAAAGTGCTGATTTTCATTTAGAACAAGCACATGCTAGCAGCCACCACGTCGGAGAAATTTCTTTAAACTCACCCGCTCATCATTGGAACACGAAGAAAAAGATGCCGCTTTTAAGTTGAAGGCTATCAATCTGGCAGTACAGGAAGGAAATGGAGCCGCTGTACGTAAACTCGGCGTGAACGAATCCATGGTTCGGCTTGGAGACGGAGGGCTGCGTCCGGCGGAGATACCAGCGCCTTAAAGCCCGATGCGGCTTATATATGTACGTTTCCAGTTTTTTTTTTTTTTTTCCCCAAAAATATTTGTAGGTGCGGCTTATAGTCTGGAAAATACCGTACATGTCCTCAATATTTATCAGAATTTTAAACTTTGTGACTGGAGTCAGACAAATCGGGTTTCTTTCCACAACAGTTTCCTGGAATTTTGGCCCATTCCTCTAGACAGAGCTGGTGTAACCGAGTCGAGTGTTGAGACCATCTTGGTTGAACACATTTCACATTTTAAGATCATCCCATTAACTTTCTGAAAGATTAAGATTAAGATTACTACTTTGTAACCAATTTCGTGGCATGTTTAGGGTCATTGCTCATTTGGAAGATCCATGCGTGCCCAAGCTTTAACTTCCTGTTTGGTGCATTGAGATGTTTGCTTCAGTTTACCAAATGATGTTCTGTCACCAATTCCACCAGCAGCAAAACACACACACAACATGATGCTGCCAACCCTGTATTTCATATTTCTGAAGGAGTTTTAAATTTTGAAGGCCCACCTTTTCCTCCAGGTGTAACAACTGTCATTATGGAGAAACGGCTTCAGTTTCACCAAGCCACAGGTCGCATCTTAAAAAAAGTCTTTCTGTATTTGCAAACTACATAGCTATATCATTATCAGTGTTTTTAAGGCGAGGTTTTAACAATCAGAAATCATTTTCCTTTTCTAAATCTAATCTGAAGGGTCTAAAACAAGCCAGGTTGAGTCTGATTTAATGTGCGGCAGTGAGGAATATACTTCTTTTTTTTTTGAGTGTATAAATATGTGGTTTCATCTGTAGTTTTGGAAATTAAGCTACATGTTGTTACCTGAAACGCGGCTGGCTGAAAGTGTTTTGACAAAAACCTGGAGATAACGCACCTGCTGGTTGCTTATTATTGTTCTCCAGTCCTGTAGATGGCGCTGTTGTACAATAATCGAGCTGCCCATCGAGCTGGTTTATGAGCGTGGTCACATAAACCAGACGCATTTTATAAATAATCAGCTATTTACAATAAGAGAGGGAAAATACATGGTGATGCAGCAGCTGTTATTCATATTTATGCTGCTGTGCATGTGCTGATCCTTCAGGTATAGACCCAGCTGCTAGTCTTAAGCACGTTGTCATGACAGCAGTTTGGAGAAAACTGTTGTGATGTGCAGACACTAGCTGTTGAGCGAGCTAATGTACCACAATAATGGTTGTACTAAAATTAGATGTTTTACCTGAGAAAATTAGAGAAGCAAAGTTAGGATTTTTTTTTAAGTTAACATTTTTTGTAATGGTTTTTGTACCCACATAGTCAGATGGTTCTGCGAAAGGAAAAATCCTGGCTAACGGCTACAATAGGCAAACCTTGTTCCAGCCGATTTTAGCTATTTAAAACAAGTCAAACTGAAAATATGTACATCAGAGGCACACAGCGACATATTAGCAAACATTAAGCACCCCACGGTTTTTCTAAAGAAAATTCATTATAAAAATGTAAAAAAGAAAGCACTTCAAACCCACTTTTAAATACAACGTAGGCCCTGTAATGCTATGTTCGTTTTCCAAAGGTCTTGTTAGAGTGGATGACATAAACTCTAGACTAACAGGAGATTTCAATCAAACTCTGGTGGAGTCTGTCAGAAAGCTATAAATGGGTCATCATAAGGTCTTTCAGCAGGAAAATTAATATGAAAATATGCAAGAGTCCAACATTATGCTACCTGAATAACCTTTTCTTATTTACTAAAAGGTGATCGATGAAGCTGAGTTCAGCTGCACGTTATAAATGACTCTAAGAATGTGAAGTGACAGTCATGGCACTGGATCAAGGTGCATTTCTGGTGCACTGGGCATTGTTTGTGTACTTTCATTGGATTTCAAACTCATTTTAACTAAGCTGTCAACTACACCAACTCACCTAAGTATGTGGGCTTCATCAGGATCTTGCTGGGGCTGAATGTGTTCTAAGTCGGACTGGTATCACAGTACAATTGGAAACTGCCACTTTGTTATCCGTGATTTGATTATTATTGGGCTTATAGACGAGTACATGCTAGTGAAAATTCAAACAACCTGTTAGTTTGGAGAAAGAGTAATAAGTAAACAGATTTATGAAGAAATTTAACCGGGGTCTGCCCGTCGGCTGGAACCCAGAGTTCTGATGCTAAAAATTAGCATCAATGCTAAAGTCGGCTACAATGTACTCAAGAGCTTGTAGAGGGTCACAAGCATGTTGACATGGACTTACTCCATTCAGTATGTTCAGCTAAAATTAGCCAAAATGCTAATGCTAGCCTAAATGCTGTCAGTAGCATGTGGGGCATCACTTACATTCAGTATACTAAAAATAACTAATATAGCTAAAATCTTTATTATTGCTCTAACTAGTGTGAGGCAATAAAATGCCAATATGTTTGCTAATATTAATGCAGTGCCTTGCATATTTGTTAAAATTATGTTGTGACAGTATAATACAAAAAAAATCAAGCTCCTATTCCATCTCCCAGTATTTACTGCAGAAATACACCGTTCAGTCAGAAACAACCAATCAGAGCCAAGAGGAGGGTCTTAGCACACACTTGTCCCCCTTTGCTGTTTGCTACGCTAAAGCAGGTTCACCACAACGTAGCCCACTACAAATGCAAAGGCTCGTTACCATGGCCACCAATGACAGACAGCAGATAAACGGTTTTCCTGAAACTGTAAGTTGTTTTTCTACTGTTAGCACATCGAGCAACGAGTACATGTGATTGATGGACAGCATTAAGATACTCTTCCTGACTCTAATTGGTTGTTTTTGACCAGGAGTGGTGTATTTTTGCAGCTGTAATCCAACACAGACATTGACATTTTGGCTTAACTGTAGTTGTGAAGCAAAGGAAAGCAACTGACTCATCGGTGTTGTTTTTGTTTTTTAAATTTCTTTATTAGTGATTTTTTTGTTTTCTTCTTTTATGCATGTGTGCAAGCTTGCGTGCATTGAATCAGTTATGTCACAGCAGCAAAACACAATAACACACACCAAGAATTGCAACATCAAGTACACAGTGTTTGACACAGCCGTGATGACGTTAAAGGGACAGCAGAACGTTCACGTCAGAACAACACAGCGGCGTGAAAGTAAAAGCTGAAGCTGTTCATAGTTATAGCTACTCAGACATTCAGTGGGGCTCTTTATTAAACCATTTATAATCTGCGACTTTCTGTTCTCCAATTATTCCCAATTATTTGCTACGTGTAAGACTCAACAAGAATGACCCATTCAGAATGAAAACTGACCAACCCAATGATGCTTATATCAGATGTTTTAGTGTTTGTAAAATTTACACAGACTTTTACAGTGATATTTTCCCGCCCACCCTGACCTCTAGGACCCCCCCCCCCCAAAAAAGCCCCGACCTCAGCCTTCTCTCCTCGCAGCTCTGGACAGTGCAGCAGTTTGATCGACATGCAAAACCGAGACCATATCAGGAGAGCGACGAGTCTGACGACGTTTGTTCTACGACTTCACATCCTGCTTCTTTTTCTGGAATTTTCTGAACTGACACTGGATAGCCACGGCGGCCCTCTGCGTCTCGGGGTCGTCCATGTCGATGTCAAAGTCCTGGGGGACGTTGTTCTTCTTTTCATCTGAGGTAGACAGGAAGGGAAAGAGTGAAAAGATAGACTTGGCCAAGAGGCCCTTTTAGAAGCTTGTGGTTAACATGTTGACCCATTCCAGACCCGGAGTGACCGCATATCTGTGGACAAATGCCCAAACCTAAATGATCCCAGATATTTACATACACTGAATTAAAAAAAAAATCTTGTTTTCCTGAACTGTCCGACATTAAATCAGACTCAGTGTTGAAGGGAAAGAAACTCATTAAACAAAATATGACATTCTTACATTTGATGAACTGTTTATTCAGCTTGAACGATTAGTTTTCGGGAAAAGAAAAGAAATAACTTCTATTATTACTATTCATTCTAAACTGTCATTATTTTATAAACAATGCTGAATCAACTGAAATACTCAGTGAATGAAAAAAGAAGTGTCTGAATTAAACACTTTTTGGTGAATCACTTCAACTTCATTCAAAATATCTTTATGTTGAGTGGAACAAAGTGTAATGACAGTGAAGGAGAAAACATGAGCTGTTTGTTAGACATAAATTGCGTCTATGAACATAAGTTTAACATGTAGGCATGGACTAAGGTGCAGTAAACAAAGCTATCTCCAAAATAACCAGGAACTTGAAAAAAGGCAACATTTTAAATTATTTTATTCTGTTTTCTTCTAAAGCAAACTGCTTAAGCTCTCATGTTTGCATCTTCACACCACAGTTTTCTCCAGACGTTTCGCAGCATTACGGTTTGCAATGACGGTGAGCCTTTTTTTTTTTTTTTTGGCCATTCTTGAATCCTTTCGATGAAGGTTTCCTGTTGGGTGACGAGCGGCCGGTGTCTGAGTCCAGAGACTTGTGTGCTGCAGAGATTCACGGATCTCGGAGCTCCAAAACCAAGCAGAGCCACCTGCTTGTTTTACAGTAGATTTGAGCTTTCTTTGTCTTTTAAAACTTGCATTTTTCAGTTTCATAAAGACAGTGTTGACTGACCAAATAGCCCCAGTTTCTAAGGGATATCCCGTCTGAAACTTTGGGACTTGTCAACATGCATTTTGTAAACTTCCAGTCAAGCAAAACCTAATTCTTTGTGCTTCAAGGGGTAAACACAGTGCACATGTTAAACTTAAGGCCGTGTTGATTGTTCACACACGCACAATGTGATCAATAGATTAGAAAATATTCAGCATTTAGATCTGAGGCTTCACTGCTTCCTCTGTGATGTGTGTTCGTGCATCAAAGTGGGTCGTACAGTGCAGAGCTCCATGCATGCTGTGCTGGTCCTGGTGAAAGTGGCCAATCTGGCAGTAAAAGGGATTTTCCCCCAAACGGTTTACTCACGTTTAGACGGAGCCTTTTGCTGGCCCTGCGTTGCTTGGATGACAATAAAAACAAAGCTATATTTCAGAATCGCAGACTCTCAAAACACACACAGACTCTTCCTAACAGTCCCGTCTTCTCTGGAAGGTCAAAGGTCATCTCACTTTAGCTGGACTTCAGAAACCTGGCACGCTTATCCAACACCTTTTGGAAAATAATTTTAAAAAGGGTTTGTGTGAGATTTAGTTATTTTAATAGAGCTGTATAAATTACAAAGGATTGGATTTTACCAGAGAGATGCACTAAGGAGTCAGCTGGTGGAGGGAACCAGCGGTTTGATAAATGGATTGGAAATGGTACGTATATATCGCATTAAAATGCCTAGGAAAAGAACTGCTTATTACCTTTACATTTAAAAGCATCGACTGATTCTTTTGCATTTTTGGGCCAAAGTTACTAGAACACATTGGAGGGTCCAAAAGAGCCACATGGAACTCTGCAGCCGTTCCCTGCTTCAGGTCTATTAATTAACTACACACGATTGGTGTGGTTAGCACTGCTAGCAGTAAAATAAAGGATGTGAATTTTCTTTCATTCTGTCTTTGCTTATAAGATGGTACTTAAAGAAATTGGGTCACTTTCGGTTGACTCAGAAATTGGCCCAAAGATTCCTGCTGCATTTCAACAACTTAGAAATACAAATTATTTAAAAAAAAAGAAAAAAGAGCTCCAAAATGGTTGTCTAGAAACAGTTCCTAAATGCAGACACAAATAAAATAAAAAAACTTTCATTCCCAGAATCAGAAGAAAACTTCAGCAAACTTGCATTTTATTTGATTATAAAACATCAGCATATTTTTTATTCTTTCTTTTTATTTTGTGTAACATGTCAGAGTACCTTGCATTTTACTCAATATCGGCAACTCGAAACCACGTCATGGAAGAAAACAAGAAAGATGACAGAAATAAGCACATTTCACACTTGTGGGAAATTCAATTAACTTTCTCAGATCCCTCCCCATCGCCTCTGGAACGTGTTCCTGCGGGATGAATCTGTGCTGTAACGCTCCTTATCTACTGGGACAGAAACCCAATTCAGCAGCGGTCCTCTCAGGTTTATCAGAGAGAAGAGAATTGCTCCTCCTCCAGGTGTGCTTCTCTCAGTGGGCTGAGGCGACGGAGTCATTTAGCTGCCATTGACCTGCTGCATGCATTGTGTTAGCAGGAAGCTCTCTTGAAGAAGCGGAGAGAATTACAACGGGAGATTTCGTAGTGTATTGATATGGAAAATAATTTAGCAGCAGTAGCTGCATTTCTATTGACCATAGAACTGAGCCAATTGGAAAAACTAAAGTTTTTTGATAAAAAGTTTTTCAGCTAGGATCAGGTGCTTTTTTTTGTCCGTATCGACATTAGCGTATTTCACTAAACTGCAATAGAAACACTTTCTTTGCATCATGAGTCATGCGATCAATAGCAGGATGTTACCGCTGGCGGAAATGACAAAGACGACGACAGGAAGGGGTGGGAGGACGACGTTTTTTAATGAGTGACCAAACGTGTTTCTTATTCAGTGGAAACACCACAATTGCGAAATGTTTGGTGTTTTGTGCACATTTGTAATGGAAACGTGCGGAAAAGTCTCACTGAAGGAATAAAAGTATTTGCGGTCATGAGACAAGAAATCCCACTAGAGGTGGGCCGTTGTTCGTTTGTGTGAAACAAACTCGAATTTTTACTGTTAAATGTTTTCATTAGTTTGAAAAAAAAATTATAAAATTAAATAGCTACTGTAGGAGAAAGAAGTTTTTCCTTGTTTGTTCATAAAAGTCAATAAACTTCAAATCTTTGGATTTAACGTCAAAAAAATAAGATAAAAAAAATATAATACATAACAGCTGCACTGAAACATGATCACGTTTTAGCTCATATTTTTGAGCAGGAAGGTGAATGAAAGAATGTCTTAAAGGTGCAGTTCAAAGAACATTTTTATAAAAACCTAAAGACGGAACGTCAACAGCAATAACGAAGGGTTTTGTTTGACAAAAATCTTTACAGTATAAAAATTACACTATAATTTAAAAGCCCCAAAAGGTGGAAATTATGTGGCCTGTTATTAGTAATTGCTGATTCTTGATAGTTTTGTGATTCAAATGAGGCTGGAAGCCGAATAATTCACAAACGAAATGTTTTACTACATAAACAAAACTTAGAAAAAAAACCCTAAAGCATCTAGTAACAGAAAAACTGAACAGAAACAGACCAAGAAACTCAGGAACAGGAGAGACAGGAAACAGGAACTAAAGTGAACCACACAGAAATAAAAACAGGAAAAACAAAACAGGAAACTGGAAAGGAGAATCTCTAAATGTCGCCAAAACAAAACAGTTACAGAATTATACAAAAACAATCCTCATCATCATCATCATCACTCTTACTTCCAACCAAAAGTTTTTCTAGAAGGGCCTTTTGTTCTCAATCCCTAACAAACCGAAACGAGAATAAAACATGGCGCTCTGAACATACCGTGGCCAGCAGATGGCTTGGTGTTTCCAGTCATTGCTCCGGGTGTTTTCCTCTGTAGAGTCAAAGAAGGAAGGAAAATGTTTTCAACACTTAAGGAAAAAAAAAACAGAGCCAGGTATGAACTCAAGATTTTTCTCTAAGATATATAATCATTCTAGCATGTTTAAAATTAAATCCAAACTTAGTTAAAACCTTTAGAGGTCACTGTGGTTTTTAAGTGATTTAAGTATTTTCACTCATTTGTGCTGCATATCAGTGATATTTGATGGGCAAAACATTTCCAGTGAGGCGTTTGTTTCACACCGACTTCCCCCTATTGTTAACGAAGGCTCACAGTGGAATCAGCTGGTGTGGCCACTATTGAGTGATTGGTCCCGACTGATGAACAGAACTTCAGAAATCTATTGTTTTCGTTCCCATCGCTGAACAAACCAGCGCATGTGGCCAACAGCAGCAGGTAGAAGGTCGATAAAATCCAACCGAAATGGAAAACACCTCCCAATAAAGGAAGTACGGACTTCTGCTTTCTTTCATTGTTTTCATTAATAATAAAGGGAGAGAGGGAAGCGGTTTAAACAAACCCTTTTCTGAATAGATTTGAAGATTTGGTACCGTGTTAGAAACCAAATACCGCTCACAGTTTGAAGCGATCACAACTGACCAGGACTGTTGATCATTCGCCAATGTTGAGTTTGAATGGAGTGTTGTTACAGAGTGTGTGTTATTCTTCCTACGACGCCCGCCAAACAGGCTCTAAATATGGATTTAATTATTATGGATTATTAGAAAGCATCAATTGTGGACATGAATTGGGACTCCACCAGAAAACTGGCAGGTTGAATTTATTACAGCAAAGTTTCTCTAAATGTACAGAATTTAGAGATCTTGAGAGCCTTTGTTTATGAAAGCATTTTACAGTTAATATCTGGTAATATAATGTTATACTCCATGGATATGAAGACATGTGTTAATTACCAAAAATGTCAGACTTCCCCTGCTCAGAGTATTTATGTATTTTACTAACTCACAGCAATGTGACAATATGATTATAATTTCCCAGAGGCTCAACCAAAAATATCCCAACTACAGGGGAAAAATCTCACCCACTAATCATTTTGTAATATTCAATAAATTAGACCTGACCAGTCTTAAAAGTACCTTTTAAAAATAACCTGAAGCGTACTTTTTAATAAGCCCACATTTCTAATTTTAAAAATATGTTGGTTTTTTTATTGGTCTGATGTAAGATTCTACTTTTAAATATGTTTTCATATTAGCTATAAGTGGAAACGTATTAATAGAAATAAAGGCTTTCAAACATCCATCTGTGTGAAATCAATCTACATAATGTGTTTCACTTAGTCATAAATCTACGAAAACAAATGGGCTTTACAATAATCTAATTTATTGAATGGGCCTCGATAATAACATTACATTTGCTCATAAATAATTAACTACCATTCATGCCAGGAAGGCTAGGAAAAGTAACTTATTGTTTGAGTA